TATATAGTTATTGCTGTTGTTATTGTTACAGTTATGGTATTGCGGCCATAGCACCCTTTTCGCACCGCCTGGCTTTTGACAGCTTGCCTGCAGATATACAAAAGCTTCGTTGCAAAGTCAATTTCCAAGCATTGGCTTTTGTTCCTCATATCAATGCTTTGGGTGAGGCTCTTGTGAACCGCCTGAGGTTCCCAGCACCTACTGAAGAGTACCTGCAGGAGGTAGTAGATAAAAATGTTAGGGGATCGGGCAAATTTGTCACCTTGCATCTTCGGTTTGATAAGGTATTTGTATGATTTTAAGCTCATGCACAAATCTAGAATAAGATTGGACATATTATTTACTCAAATGACTTAATATTTCCTGAGACTGTTCCCTTAAGTGTATGGTTACACATAATGGAGTCAAATTTGTATCTAATGGCGTAGTTCTGGGAGTTAACCTTCTTAAAATCAATCCAATTTCAGGACATGGCAGCACACTCAGCTTGTGATTTTGGCGGTGGCAAAGCTGAAAGGCTGGCCTTGGCAAAGTACAGGCAGGTGATCTGGCAAGGGAGAGTCCTGAACTCTCAATTCACTGATGAGGAGCTGCGTAGTCAGGGTCGCTGCCCGTTGACCCCGGAAGAAATTGGCTTGCTACTGGCCTACTGGCTGCTTTAGGCTTTGACAACAAAACTCGCCTCTATCTTGCCTCACACAAGGTTTTGTTTTGTTTTTTCCTGTTGGATTAGGGAAATTTCCGCAGATGCAGCCCCACAATGTGAATAACAAAAGCTAGTGACTTTTGGGTACAGGTATACGGAGGAGAAGCCAGGATCTCAAGCTTGCGGAAGCTTTTCCCACTGATGGAGGACAAGAAAAGCCTTGCTTCTGAAGAGGAACTTGCGAAGGTTGAAGGGAAGGCTTCTCTTCTAGCTGCTGTTGATTACTATGTGAGCATGCACAGTGACATCTTCATTTCCGCATCTCCAGGGAATATGCATAATGCTATGGTGAGATTATTTTTTCCCCCTCTCCCCCTCATAGGTCAACACATTTGATATGTGCTTAAAATAACCAAATGGCTTGTGGTTTTTGATGGGATGCAGGTTGGGCATCGGACCTACGAGAACTTAAAGACGATAAGACCAAGCATGAGCTTATTAGGTCAGCTGTTTTTGAATAAGAGCATGGAGTGGCCGGAGTTTCAGCGGGCAGTCCAAGAAGGACACAAAAATAGGCAAGGGCAGATTAGATTGAGGAAGCCAAAGCAATCGATATATACATATCCTGCTCCTGATTGCATGTGTCAGGCATGATCGGCCCCTGCCCGTGGTTCTAGTCTATTATTATCACGAATTTGTACTATGCTGCCCTTGTGTTTCCATGTGTTCATTGTTGTATTTGCGATAGAGTGATTGTTTAAATTTGTAATATTCCATCAGCTACTCAAAAGTATAATCTGTGTTCCTCTTACGATCTAGTGGCTCAGCGTGGACTGAAGCTGGATTCTATAAAGGACGAGACAAATTAGTTTGTGTTCTCGAGATATTTCTATCCTCATTCCCTCCGAACGGGCTGAAATGCAGGTTGATCTTCTGACTCTACTCTACAGAATTCGAGTTCATTGTAAACTAGGATGTTCTAATGTTAGCAACCCGTACTCCTTGAGCGCCTGTTTCCGTTTTGATCAGCAGCGACAGCCTTCTATGTGTATCGTCTCATCCGTCTTTCTTCGGGCCCGAATTTTATATACCATCCAGGTCCCAGCGTTTTTTATTATTATCGTGTGCAAGTGAATGTGGTTAAATATGGTGCAAATGGATTACTTGGGTCGGCAAATGTATTTTCTTCCGAGATACTACATATGTTTTTAATTAATTTCTTGATTTTTTGGTTAATATGGATTAAGGTAATTTTGAAGCTCTCTCCTTCTCCAAATAAGGAAACAAAAAGGCTTAATTGCACTTCGGCACCCTAAAGTTCAACCCAATTTGAACTTTAATAACCCAAAGTTAATTTTTGCTAATTCGATAACCCTAGTTTTTTTTAATTTTTTTTTTATAAGTTTATTCTTTAGTAAATTTGTGATCAAAGACGCAGCCTAGTTTGGACTTTTCATATCCAGGCGGTCATTATAAATGCGCCTAAAACGAGGGGAAATTACCAAACTCTACCATTACACATTTTGTTTTGGATGTTCACAAGAATTTTCATCCATTTCAAAGGCGTTGATGAACTGCAAACACATTTTAGTGGTGGGGCTTACTAACTGTAAGGCCTCGTTTGGTACGCGGGAATGTGGTGGAATGGAATGGTCATTCTTACTTCTCATTCCTTCCTACCAAACACACCCACTTTTTTGAAGTTGGAATGTCCATTCTCACTTCTCATCAATTCTCACTTTATGTGGGAATGAGCATTCCCAATGAAATGATAGGGAATGAGCATTCCCACTTAAATGAGAATCAATAAAATATACAATTTTAAAATACGTCAATTCCCACTTTATTTTATAAATTACACCCAAACGTGAGAATGAGAATGACTATTCCATTCTCACATTAATTTCATTTCATTCCTTCTTCCATTCCATTCTCATTTGAGTCCATTCCCGCGTACCAAACGAGGCGTAATAGTTCAGAATAGATCAAGGTGCGATCTCAATTCAACAGAAAAATGAAAAATCCGCAAAGCCTTGGGTATCAAATAGGTAAAAATAAACTTTGGGTGTCAATCAAATGTGCTAAAATAAACATCGGGGTATCCAGGTTTAGAATGGGCTACCAAATGGCAGTTGAGCCGGGAAAATAAAAAGAGCAAAAAAAAGCAAAAAAGAAGAACAAGAAAGAAGTAATAAATAAAAAATAACGTGAAGATAGAAACTAGGAAACGATGTTGCATCGCGCTGCCCCCTCTACCGTGCTGTGCTGATCCAAGTAATGACTTGATAGTTTGGGTACGGATGAATTAAGACATTATATTATTAATACATAATGTATAGTAAAGTGGCTGGGGGATTATTATTAGGGGTTTTTGTCTATAGGCCCATTTGTTTAATCCCATTTATTTTTGTCTCCAGCCCGTCTCCAGCCCGTCTCCAGCGTCGACGCTCCTCTCCAGCTGTTGCCTGACTCCATCCCTCGACGCCCAGCTCCAGCCGTCGCCCGCTCTAGCCGCCGACTCCCTGCTCTAGCCGCGTTTCCATTGTTTCCAGTCGTCGACGCCCCAATCGTCGACTTCCCTTTGGAAGTTCTAGGGCGTTTGCTAGAGGTACTAGCCATGGATTAAAATGAAACCCTAGAAAAAGAAATGAGAGAAGGAAGGGGTTATACCAAGCCGAGGAAGACTGAGTGCAGACGATGACTGCAAGAGAGGACGAGTCGACCGGTGATGATGAGTCGGCTGGAGATGAGGGTCGACTGTAGTGAAGGAACGGCTGGAGGAAAGAAAAGAACGAAAGAGGATTAGAAGATGAACTGAAATGGGATTAATGGGCCAGATTTGGTCAAAATGATGAGTGTAGGGTCAGGATACAGGTAGACAAACGGGTCGGGTCTAAAACATCCCAAAACCAAAACCGAAAGAAATAGATACCAAAAAAAGTCTCCAGAAGGTCGAAGGTCGACTTGCAGTCGACTACACATTGTGAGTCGACTCAAGGTCGACTTAAGATTAAGTCACAAGATTAAATAAGCTTAAATATTTATAAAATATTTAAAACAAAAAAAAAATAGCAACAAAAAACAAAAAACGTTATATTGAGAGTATAGCACATTAACCTGAAAGTATAGCACGTTAACCTGTAAGTATAGCACATTAATTCGAAAGTATAGCACGTTAACCTGTAAGTATAGCACGTTAATTCGAAAGTATAGCACGTTAACCTGTAAGTATAGCACGTTAATTTGTGAGTATAGCACGTTAACCTGAAAGTATAGCACGTTAACCTGTAAGTATAGCACGTTAACCTGTAAGTATAGCACGTTAACCTGTAAGTATAGCACGTTAACCTGTAAGTATAGCACGTTAATTCGAAAGTATAGCACGTTAACCTGTAAGTATAGCACGTTAATTCGAAAGTATAGCACGTTAACCGTTAACCTGTAAGTATAGCACGTTAATTCGAAAGTATAGCACGTTAACCTGTAAGTATAGCACGTTAATTTGTAAGTATAGCACATTAACCTGAAAGTATAGCACGTTAACCTGTAAGTATAGCACGTTAATTTGTAAGTATAGCACGTTAACCTGTAAGTATAGCACGTTATATTGTAAGTATAGCACGTTAATCTATAAGTATAGCACGTTAATTTGTGAGTATAGCACGTTAATCTGAAAGTATAGCACGTTAACCTGTAAGTATAGCACGTTAATTTGTAAGTATAGCACGTTAATTCGAAAGTATAGCACGTTAACCTGTAAGTATAACACGTTAACCTGTAAGTATAGCACGTTAATTCGAAAGTATAGCACGTTAACCTGTAAGTATAGCACGTTAACCTGTAAGTATAGCACGTTAATTTGTAGGTATAGCACGTTAACCTGTAAGTATAGCACGTTAAACCGAAAGTATAGCACGTTAATATGTAAGTATAACACGTAAATCCGAAAGTATAACACGTTAATCTGTAAGTATAGCACGTTAATTCGAAAGTATAGCACGATAACCTGTAAGTATCCAGATTTTGGGATGTGAGTCGACTCATACATAAACATGAGTCGACTCAGCAGGTTGGGTCGACCTTTGCCTGTAATGAGTCGACTCATAAAACCAAGCCTACTTCGCATTTTGGCTCTGACCAGTCGACTCATCATTTAATGAGTCGACTCATAAATTACAAATTAACGTGCTATACTTACAGGTTAACGTGCTATACTTTCAGGTTAACGTGCTATACTTACAAATTAACGTGCTATACTTACAGATTAACGTGCTATACTTACAATATAACGTGCTATACTTACAGGTTAACATGCTATACTTACAAATTAACGTGCTATACTTACAGGTTAACGTGCTATACTTACAAATTAACGTGCTATACTTACAGGTTAACGTGCTATACTTACAGGTTAACGTGCTATACTTACAGGTTAACGTGCTATACTTACAAATTAACGTGCTATACTTACAGGTTAACGTGCTATACTTACAGGTTAACGTGCTATACTTACAGGTTAACGTGCTATACTTACAGGTTAACGTGCTATACTTACAAATTAACGTGCTATACTTACAAATTAACGTGCTATAGGTGCTATACTTTCGAATTAACGTGCTATACTTACATATTAACGTGCTATACTTACAGGTTAACGTGCTATACTTACAGGTTAACGTGATATACTTTCGAATTAATGTGCTATACTTACAGGTTAACGTGCTATACTTTCGAATTAACGTGTTATACTTACAGGTTAACGTGCTATACTTACAAATTAACGTGCTATACTTACAGGTTAACGTGCTATACTTTCAGGTTAACGTGCTATACTCACAAATTAACGTGCTATACTTATAGATTAACGTGCTATACTTACAATATAACGTGCTATACTTACAGGTTAACGTGCTATACTTTCGAATTAACGTGCTATACTTACAGGTTAACGTGCTATACTTTCGAATTAACGTGCTATACTTACAGGTTAACGTGCTATACTTACAGGTTAATGTGCTATACTTTCAGGTTAATGTGCTATACTCTCAATATAACGTTTTTTGTTTTTTGTTGCTATTTTTTTTGTTTTAAATATTTTATAAATATTTAAGCTTATTTAATCTTGTGACTTAATCTTAAGTCGACCTTGAGTCGACTCACAATGTGTAGTCGACTGCAAGTCGACCTTCGACCTTCTGGAGACTTTTTTTGGTATCTATTTCTTTCGGTTTTGGTTTTGGGATGTTTTAGACCCGACCCGTTTGTCTACCTGTATCCTGACCCTACACTCATCATTTTGACCAAATCTGGCCCATTAATCCCATTTCAGTTCATCTTCTAATCCTCTTTCGTTCTTTTCTTTCCTCCAGCCGTTCCTTCACTACAGTCGACCCTCATCTCCAGCCGACTCATCATCACCGGTCGACTCGTCCTCTCTTGCAATCATTGTCTGCACTCAGTCTTCCTCGGCTTGGTATAACCCCTTCCTTCTCCCATTTCTTTTTCTAGGGTTTCATTTTAATCCATGGCTAGTACCTCTAGCAAACGCCCTAGAACTTCCAAAGGGAAGTCGACGATTGGGGCGTCGACGACTGGAAACAATGGAAACGCGGCTAGAGCAGGGAGTCGGCGGCTAGAGCGGGCGACGGCTGGAGCTGGGCGTCGAGGGATGGAGTCAGGCAACAGCTGGAGAGGAGCGTCGACGCTGGAGACGGGCTGGAGACGAGCGAGCGACGGCTGGAAATGAGCGACTGCTGGAGCGGGGCGTCGACGGCTGGAGACGGGCGACGACGAAATGGGATCTCGTTTTTTAAATGGGGGGCTGATCTCAAATGGGGAAGATGAGAGAGAGAGATACGGTTTTATGGGGCCAATCAAAGGGGTATTTTGGAGCTTTTACATTCATTCTGTATAAATACAAGTAGTCAAAAGTACTGTATTTTAGAATTGGGTTTAAAGACAATAACTAAAAGTGAATTGGGCTTAAAGATAAAACTAAAAATACTTGGGTTTAAAAATAAATGGGAGTAAACAAATGGGCCTATAGACAAAAACCCCTTATTATTATTATTATTATTATTATTATTATTTTGAGGGGGAGGAAGAGGGGAGGAAAAGGCCTCTCTCGTTTCCTCTTCCTACACTTCCCCCTGTTATCGCACCTCCGCTCGTCGTCCGCTCCTCTCCCCCTTTCTTCCCCATTTTTTAAAATTTTACACCATCACCCTTGTTCTCTTTTCCCCTCTCCTCTCCACTCATTTAATTCTCCTGATAATTTCCCCCTCATCCATTGATTATTTATTTAGAGATTTTAATTCGTTATCCCCTTTTACTTTCTCGATAATCCTGCTTCCTCCCTCCCTCGATTTGGACTCCGATTCCGATTTTACCATTCCGTCCCGTCTTTCTCGTCCCTTAAATTAATTGTCGCCAGAATCGGGGGGATTTGGATTTCTTGGCTTCGGTATTTCCCCCCTCTGTTCTTTTTCTTTTTCTTTTTTCTTTTCCGCCCCGTAAAACCTAATTTACAAGGATTTGTGGTGATAATAACAATAACAATAACAATTGTGATAGAGAGAAAGATGGGAAGGGTGAAACTGAAGATAAAAAGGTTGGAGAACACGAGCGGGAGGCAGGTGACGTACTCGAAGAGGAGAGCAGGGATACTGAAGAAGGCGAAGGAGCTGTCCATCCTCTGCGACATTGACATCCTCCTCCTCATGTTCTCTCCCACCGGCAAACCCACTTTGTGCCTCGGAGAACGAAGGTACGTACACAATGCAACCCCCCCTCTGTTATTATTTATCCACCCATCGAAGGTCCAATTTGGCAAATTATGTCTTCTTCTTGTCAGCAACATTGAGGAGGTCATTTCAAAGTTCGCACAATTAACTCCGCAGGAGAGGGCTAAAAGGTGCGGCGGAACCGTTTTGATTTGCGAACCTTCTTTTATTACGCTGCATCGTGTATATAGTTGAATGATCAGGAACCTCACTGATGTCATGTGCGCAATTTGCTTTTTTTTTTTTCAACAGGAAGTTGGAAAGCCTTGAGGTACCGATTCTGTCCATTTGCGTTTATTAACATCATCTTCCTTCTCTCTCTCTCTCTATATATATATATATATATATATATATATATATATTAATTAATTAAAAAAAATTTATGTTGCAAGATGCAAGCCTGCCTAATACCAAAAAGTACTTACGATCTCAATGTATCTCTGCTTACATCTCCTCCATCAGAGGTGGAACATGAAAAATGTGAAATCATTCGGGTGGCAGCTGTAGGAGAAAGGAAATATTCTTCTTATCTTCCATAGATGTCCAAAGTAGAACCATTCGAGTGGGACACGCTTCGCTGAGGACCGTCTTGTTCCTCAGAGTCATAGAGGCCTCACACCTTATTTCTAAGCGAACAACTCACACTACGTAAAATTCTTCAAAAATAGTCATCTACGACATCAAGGGCCTTTCTTGCCACCTAGGAGGTCGTAATTCGAGTTGTGCCTCCAGTTAAATATAGGAATTACATTACCAATTTGCAGGAGAGGCTTGTGTGCACATTTTGTCTCAAATTAGATCAGTAGATAGATGAACAAATGAGTCAAAATGAATAAAAATAAAGATCATGGCTTGTATAGTTTCCAATTAAATTGAAGACTGGCAACTTAATTTTCTGCTAGATACTTGCATGATTGACCGTCATCATGGCACTGTTCTGGTGGAGCTTTATTAATTGTAAAACTGAGATCTGTGTGAAATATTGCAACTTATCCAGTAATGAAGCTACCTGACAACACCAGCAGCCACAAGTGTCTTCTGCTAACACAAAATATCATCTTTTTTATTTTATTACGAGGATATAGGCACTGAAGAAGACATTCAAGAAGTTGGATCATGATGTCAATATACAAGATTTTTTAGGTTCAAGGCGAGTGCTGATTCTGGACCTTGTTATCGTATTTATCTCTTGAAACAAATTTCTAACACTTGTCTATTTTTTGCTATTTCAGCCAAACAGTTGAGGTATGCAGTTACGAAGATTAAAGCTATATATGCATCTTGTCCTTTTCATGTATTAGAATTTGATGATAAGTGTTTCTTCAGGAGCTGGCTAATCACTCCCAGTCATTGCAAGCTCAGATATCCGAAGTAGAAAGAAGACTGAGGTAGTACTCCGAAACCTTTTCTTCTGTTTAAATTTTCTCAGCTGAGTGTCACCAGTAATGAAAATAGAGTAACAATAAGTTACACTGCTGAAATTGATATAATCTGTTGTGCTATTTTCAAATCACGTGCTATTATAACTTACTCTTTATGGACTGGATGGCCGCTTTCCGTTTCTTCCATTAAAAAATAGTCTCTAATATAGCTCGAGAGGCAGATCTGAGGGAGCATGCAGAAGATCGCTCATCCCTAGGATTTTGAGCATTTGGAATAATACTATTGTACCCTAATAAAAATATTGGTTACCACTCCCAATTTAGCAATTTTAAAATCCAACAGATCTAATAAGATCGGCTCTACTAACCAGATAGTTAACCTGCAATAAAAATGAAAACAAAATTATCCTTCCTCATCAAAAATATTTGAAAAATGAAAATAGAGATATCATGCCTCGTCTAAAAGCTTTGAGAACAAATAACAAAGGGTAAATTTGAAAACCTTCATCAAGTAATCACTAGAACCTGAAAACCATTCTGTATTGATTAGTTACTCAACAAAAACCAAATTTACATGATTGGATCACATTGATTCGCTTCTTTAGTTAATGATGCATTTCATTACATTTTTGATGAAAATATTATCATCCTTCCATTTTTTATATCATTTTAACTTTTTAAGAGTTTATTAATTGGACAAAATTTGAAGAATCTCACAAAACAATCACTAAAATTAAATAAACAATCTTGTATTTATTAGTTGATTAAAAACCTCCTTCTACATACATTGTTGAAAAAATTCTCTAAAACAATAAACAATAAATGTACTTCAACTGTCAAGAAAACTTCTGAAGCAAAATTTTCTTTCTTCTTCCATATATTGTATAATCATCTCTACTATCGATGGTACCAAGTCCTAGATCTTTATACTAATTTTTTTTATGAAAGTCTAATTATGAGGTTGAAATTGGATTGTTTGAGTTTAAAAATATTATTTTTCCTTTTAGATGTAATTTTATTATTTACTAGTTTTATGCACGTGGTTAAATATTAAAATAATTTATTTTTTTATTTTATTACTATAAATAACTCGGATTCGTTTTAATTATTAGATTTACTATAATTTTTATTTAAACATTATAAAAAAATTAATGTAATGAATTTTTGTGTTAAACTGAGATCAATATACTTAACTGAGATATCATAATTGATTTCTGCAGAAAAAGATATCAGTTGACATAATAATATATTCAAGCAGAATAGTAAAAAAATAAGTTGAATTGATACTACATGTCATATTCTAAACTCTACTAATCCCTGTTAGACCCTAATGCCACTAGGAAAGAACCCTAGAGGGGGGGTGAATAGGGTCTTATGCTAATCTAATTCAAGTTAATACCAATTAAAACTAATTAACAAATATCCTAACAAATATGATATACTACCAGATATATGCAAGGATAAGCAATATAAACAATGGTGAAATTAACAAAAACAAACAAGAGTGATAGTACGCAAATAAACAAACACAAACACAAGCAAATGATCACGGAGTTCGGTCCTTCCGACCTACGTCTCCGCTCCCCACTCCCGGAGAGAAATTCACTATCGCACCGGGTTTTTAACGCTCACCTGAAAACGTTTACACCTCACTCGGTTTTTTAGCTCACCGAAAATTTTACAATCAACACTCTTGCAATCACACTCTATACCCTCTAAGTATTGGTCTCTAGCCCGTGTCTCCCTCAAGTGCTCGGATTTACATCCTCTCCCTAGGCTTTATTACCGACGCCACTCCTCTTGGGACGACCCCGTCTTTCACCACACACTTCTCTCGGTGTACAAGTGTATTACAAAGTGTATCCTCACAATTAAGCTCTCCAACAAATGATTATTCTCTAAACAAGGTGAGAACTCAATTAAGCTCAACTCAATGTTACAAACTCACAACCCCACATATACTATGTATGAAAATCACTGTTTTAAATATCGGCCGATAATCGATATTATTGGCCGAGTTATCAGATTTGGGAGCTCTCCGCTAGGATAAATTGGATTTTTAATCGGTTATCGTTTTTCTAGGTTTATCGGCGATTTATCAGCGTTATCGGCACTTATCGACCGATAAGTAAGACTTTTTTATCGGGATTATCGACCCATTTTGACTAACATTATATTTTTTCAAGGCTATGATGCAAGTTTCGCTTTCTACAATTGGTAAATGATTCTAAACATGATGATTTACATTTTGGTATGTTTATATTTCATTAAGCATGATTAGATTATATTTTTTAATTGTTATATTATATATACACATCATCCAGTATATCACTCCGATAAATACTACTTATCCCCGATATATCCCCGATTTTCGTTAGTCGATAAGGATTTTAGCCGTCCGATAAATCCCCGATAACCGATATTTAAAACCTTGATGAAAATACTAAAAGCTCAAGTGGGTGTGTGTAACAATGAGAATAAAATCAAAACTAAACTCAAATAAATTCTAGCTTATGGAAATGAAAATCAAACATATAAATAGCTAGATATGAGTTTAAAAAACTTCTCTAATGACAAGAGTAGGAGAGATGAATTAAAGCTCAAACACCAAGAATTGATCTTCACTTCCTCTTGTGAAAATTTCTTCACAAAACAAACTTGAAACAAAACTTAAACTCTTTTAGAATCTTTCTTAAACTTGTTTAAAACATTCTCTTGGTTATCCAAAATAGTTACGACAATGGGGTATATATAGGGTGGAAGAAACCAGCCTAAAAATCCATAAAAATCATTAAAATACACAAAATCTGGAAATAGCCGTTACTGTACAATGATCAGATTTATAAATCGATTTAACAGTGTTATAAATCGACTTGGTATAAGTCGACTTTACAGTACACATGAGTCGACTTGCAGAAGAAAAACAACAAGCTGAAAAACAGGCCATAAGTCGACTTGCGAAATGACATAAGTTGACTTGCTATTATATATAAGTTGACTTGACAGAGGTTAAATGCACTTTCTAGAGTAGTTCATAAGTCGACTTATCCAACCTTATAAGTCGACTTATGAACATGCACGGTGACTGTGCATGTCCAAAAATTAACTTTTAAAGTGTATTTAAAAATAACAAATAGATTCAGAAAAATATAAAACTTTAGAAAATGTTTATATACATGATAATAAACAATGTTACAAAAAGAATTTTTTAATTTGCACTTCCCATTTGTAAAATCTCATCATTTTGTAAAAACACTCAAATACATGTTTGTATAAACACTTGAGTTTTTTATTTGACTTGAACAAAAGTTTTGAAACCTTATAAAATGATTTTATAGACTTAATAAAAGATGTATATAATGATTGTTAATTTGAAACCTTATAAAATGATTTTATAGACTTAATAAAAGATGTATATAATGATTGTTAAGTCCATAAACCAATAACACAATATTTTTGATTTTATAGACTTAATAAAAGATGTATATAATGATTGTTAAGTCCATAAACCAATAACACAATATTTTTATAAAAACACCTATATTTTGATAAAATCAATAAATACGTGTGTGTATAATTGAGCTTGAAGTATTAACACACATAATATAAAATCTAAACTATTTACCTAAGCAACTTGATCTTCAATGAGCTCTTCTTGGTACACTTACGGATGAAGCTTGAACTTGGATCTTGACTTGAATTGCATTGCTTCATACCGATATTCCGCCAACCTCCATTGAATATGATCGTTATGACGTAATTCCATCCAACCTCCGACACATTGTTTGTCTAGAATAAATACAAAAACACAAATACTAGACAAACAATATTAGTTATAAATTATTTGTTAAAACATCATTAAAACAAAAAGGGTAACAATCTCCCCCTTTTTGATGATGACAAACAATTTACACAAAAAGTATATAAAATATACAATAAAGTATAATACTCAAAAACATAAATATACTCACATATTTCTTCCCCTTTGGCAACATAAAAAATAAGGATATAAAAGAAACATGAAAGCGAAAGCTCCCCCTACCTATAAGCATGGTGAGTATAGAAACAAATAATAGGGAATAGCTCTTCCTATCAAAATGCCTTAATGAATATATGCAATGAAGACTAAGGTAAACATATGTGAGCAAGCATAGATATAGAAAACATGCTTAATATAACTCACATACAAAAAAACAATGAGAGCACATATTGATATGTCAATATGAAAAAGTGTGTTTACACAAACATAAAAACAATGTATAAATAGATTTCTGAAAACAAAAGAATGAAGAATATGAGAATCATGAAAAAAGTTTTCAAATGAAAACGAATCAAACAAATGAATTCATAAATCAAAAATTTAAACCACAATCACATAAAAACAATCGATATTAATTTTTTGACAAAAGAAAGGCAAGAGAGGCAACCATATCAAGCTTGTTAGCTTGTCTCAACCCATATAAAGATTTTAGCACCCGGTAAACATGATTTGAGAAATAAACACTCAATAAATCCGGGGGTTGCTCAAACACAAACCTCTCATAACAATCAAAGCCAAAAGAATGAAAAACATGAAAATCAAAAGTCTTAGCTTAAAATTTTTTATTTTCAAAAATTTCAAAAACTTATTTTTCAAAACCAAGACATAAAAAAATAAAAATATTAAAATTATTGGTTTTAAAAATTAAATTTGTTTTGGTACCAAAGTATTCTTAGTACCAAAGGATTTAGGGACATGACCCTTATCATGAAACCTCAATGCCTTAGGGTTATGATCCCTTTTGGACGTATGTAGTGCACTAACACGGTCAAATCAAAAATTATGCAAATGACCTTTCCGGTTGTAATAGGTACAATAAAAATGGTTAAATGATTTGTGTTGACCAAGTGGGCGTGCACAAGAATCATTTACAAATAAGGATTGTCTTTTAAATTCGTTTAGCAAATGAGAAACTCTTTTTAAATCAAAATAAAATTTGGCCAAATGACCAAAACGATCACAATAA